GATGTGAATATGAGTAACGATCTTTTTATAGTTCATAGTTACAGCCACAGCCATATCCACCCCTTCAATTCGAAGTTTAAGTGAAATTCAACAGTATTTCCCAATAGTAGGGTGTAAAAGAAATGTCATGATGGCACGATGAGAATACCTTTTTCTTCTTCGATGTAATTTATCTCGTCTCTTCGTTATATACATTTCAAGCTAGTTTGTGCATATGTATTTTAAATGTTTGAGAGATTGACGTATAATGATAAATATTGCTCAAATGAATATAATGACAATTGTTTACTTCATGAATAACATATTTTGCTATTAGTTATGCAAGAACGAAATAACTAAGCAAGTATAAAAATACTCAAGAATTAGACAATAACCTTGTCCATGAGTGAAAATAATACTCAAACGAAAAAAATAAACGCTAGATAAACACGCAAAAGCTTATTAGTGCAGCTTCTTTGAAGCTTAAAATGTGGAACTTGCATATGTTCTTTAATCTCACTAAACTAACGCAAAATACTTAGGGAGAAATTTCTTGTAGAGCGTCGTTGTTTTCAAAGATAATCGGTGAACAAAATAAGGATCTCTCTTATTTTTTTCTACACTATGAACAAAAGCTTTATCGTTTTGCTACGTACATCCTATTGTTTGTTTGGTTTTTTACTATTCGCTCTTTGTTTTTCTTTTACATGTCTCGGTTTTGTAAAACACAATTTGAAACCATTGTTGAAGTATGTATAGGTAAAAATTTGGATATTTTCTCTCGCAGACTGAAGCAGACATTTTTTATACACCATGAAGGATCGTATATGACGAAAATCTTGTTAGAATATATCAACTGGTTCATTATTGCAGTTCTGTAGGATTAAATAAACCACGATGAAGAGATGTGGCCCAACATAGATCAAATAAGAGAATTTTCATGTAATTAACAGCAACAGCTACATCGTGTTTCACATTTTAATCCCACAGAGATTGCGCTAAAGGCTTTTCTAAGTTTAACATTGTTAGTATTGTAGGCATTGAATAAAATACTAAACAAGGCTCTTGTAAATATCTGTCTTTTGAACCCAATTGTTAGGGTTTGTAATCGGGAGCGAAGATGGACGAAGACGGAAAACTTAAACTTCATACTTACAGTCACTATTTTGTTCGAAAATATATGTGAATTCCACAAAAAGTATAGTAGGTGTCATCATTACTATATTATTTTATATTATAAACTGAGAGAGTCTAAGCCAAAAAATTTATCAACAGTAGAAGCATTTAATCATGACCACCCAAGTCAATCAAAACCGATCCTTTTTCTGTACCTTTTCGAAATGTGAATGAGAAAAATAGCTGTGAATGCAATCCCTGTCGGATTAAACTGTAAAACAGGATTTAGCTGTTCTTGGTAATAACAGAAGCTCTTTTTTAAATTTATCTGTGTGGTGACACATTTCTGAACTGTCCATTTACTTATTCTTCCAGAACTAGAATGAGAATTAATTCATATATTTTAATGAGACGTCATTGATGTGCGGTCTTTGATCGAAACTCAATAACGTCTGTCACGGTTTGCGACTAGTGAGGGGACTTTGGCAATTTTTTCGCTATATCTTCCGACAGCCTGTTCATTAATTGCTCATTAACTATCTACCCAGAGTTTATTAATTAGTGATTAATTAGGTATTATTAACCAACAATTGACGGGTAATTAGGTTTTCGTTAGTAATTAATTAAAAATTAATTAATTAATTGATCGACATGTCTGTCGTGATTTGTAGATGGGAGCAGGGAT